CAAATAGTAATGCCTCAAGAGAGACACAAGGGACAGGTGAGTCCCCTTAGCGGCAATATGTACGTTCATCAACGAATGTCAATATCCCCTACCCAAACCGGCGAGACAATGAGCTCGTAACTCTGTGGTTAGGGCCTTTGGCACTGATTAAAAAGGTCGCGAGTCGAGGCTCGATAGGGGCACAAATTGGGTGTGAGTATGACCGGCTGACGACGAATAATAAAATGTTCTAGTCCATTCTAGTCTCCCTTGTCTTTGTGGGCAATGCTATGTACCTACTACCAGGGCCTCTGCCGAGGCACAAAACAGAGCGGGACAGAGGAGTTCAGCTAGTGGTAAGGTGAACGACTGTTGGCGGATTTTTATAGAATAGTGCTCAGAAATACACATTCATTTACGGGTTTAGCGTCTAATTAAATTTTCACTCTCGAAGATGGTTTTCTGCCAAAGTATTAATGCTGCTTTTAGCCCGTCTTCTTTACAATATTCGATGAGCCCGAGACGTTTTCGTAATTTCCTAAAGAAATAAATGATTTTCCTTGTATTGAAATATGCAAGTGTAGTTTGCAGTCAGTCGGAAATGTATTTCAAGACTTACTAGAGGTGAAAGAATTGTCCAGGAATTTAAAGCCCAAATATTTACCAATACAAACTCTCTGTATGCCTATGATTGAGTGTGAGAAACGCCTATTCCATGTGACTCAGGCGATCCATTGTTACTTTGTGCCTTCAGCGTTTCCTTTACGATGTTTATCTTGATTGCCCTAAATTTGAATGGACAAGATAACTGAGTGGCCATTTCTTTTTGAAACTTCAATATACATATAAAGGAAGCTGGCACCTTCCCGCACTTAAGTTTCAACTTTCAAAACGTAGGCGTTCTACTTCTTACCTTTTATGCTTTCTCTCCGATTTTTATTGCAATGGGACATTTCCTTCTTAACTATGTTTGCATTGTTCTCATTTCAGTTATAATTTGCACTAAATTCATTTTTATATGACTGACTGCCATAGGTACACATAGGATAGTCATCTTTGGGCAGACATGTCGTCTATACAGCTGAAGTCTCGTTGTTACTTATGCGGCTTTATTTGAACCAAAAGTTTTACTGCTAAAGGAAGGTGACAATGGCAAGGCCGTAATTGCCTTATCTGCTATGATCATCTTCGACGCACTTCAATTGCAGAAATTTTATTGAATTTACGTAGTCTGCTTCATTTATATAATTAGTTGTTTTAGGTTGATGGGTCGGTAACGGAGGAACGTCTATGGCATTCTATAAGATTCCACAGATCATGCTATGAACAAATTCGGTAGCACTTTTTGATTTTTGTTTTTTTCCTTAGGAGTTTGATCGCCTACATGAGCTTCTAAGCAGCGCTCTATCTTCCTAGGAAAAAATGCTATCTACATCCGGAACAATGACTTAAATTAAGATATCGTTTCCTTCACGTAAGAAGTTCCAGAAGGGTGTACTTCCCGGAAACCACTTCTGTGTATCCTTTTTAACAGGGTAGGGTTAATTTTATGTTTGTGTAGAGCAAAACAGTAAAGTTTGTTCTATTAAACTTGCATTAACTTGGCTAGTGAAACCCATTTTTAGGACCGCAGCATACCAATGTAATATTACGCATTCTCTGGTCTACACAGTTTTTCCTTAACTCACAACAAATGCCAAGTTTTGGCAACGTTTCCGTAGCCTCAGTGTTCCTATGTCTGCCAAGGTATGTTGCTGTACGATGCGATGTGGTGTGGGAAGTAGTTTGGAAAACATTCAGGTTACATACAAGCTAATTACCCAATTTATATTTACTTTTGCGGCACAGGCCTCACACGAAACCAAACATCTTGAACGGGGAGGCCTCCACTTCACGCTCTGGTGGGACCACCATATTTGTCGGTCGCCTGACACCAACTACCACGGAAGGCGACCTCGCAGTCTACTTTTCCGAATTTGGCACTGTTAAAAATGCAACAGTAGTATCTGATCGAACAACCGGCCTGTCCCGCGGCTTTGGTTTTGTCACTTTCGTAGATCGAAAGGCCTTCGAAAATGGTGTTTTGGAAGCTTGTCACTTGATCAATGGGTACCGCCTTAACGTCAAGCCTGCAAGACCTCAAACCACATGTCGTCCTGCTAGGAATGTGGCCACGGAGGATATTCAGTCTTCGACGGAGAGTGCGTAGTTTTTGCTTTCACAGTGTTTATCTGCAAATTTTTTTATATCCGAGGCCCTTTCATTTAACTTGCGGGCATTGGTATTAAAAACTCATGCACGGCCTTCAATGACTTTGGGCGCTCTCCAGGGCCCTAACGACCTCCTTCACTAATAAAAAACGGCGCCAACGGAGCTCTGAAAGCCCCAAGCACATATGTTTCGTTCTTCATTTGAATTAGGAAAATTGCCATCCGAATTGAAAACGGCAAAGATTTACCCAATATACAGGGGCGGAGCCCAAACGAAGGTCATCAATTACCGGCCCGTCAGCCTAACTTGCATTTGCTGTAAGGTGATGCAAACG